GTAGGCACGACATAGGCTGTCCAAGATTTTAATAATTAGGAAGTTCTAAAGCAAAAGATATATTCCATCCGTTTCATTGAAAGTGTCATACTTTTCATTTTGGAATGTCCCAAAGCAATTGTCGTGTTAGAAAAGTCAAAACACATTTTAGTCTCTCTTTCCAATATAGCTCTTCTTTCTAATCATATGCATGTTGCCATTCAAATTTAAATTTTAAATTTGTGGGGATAAAATTGAAAAGAGAAGCACAAGCATCACAACCAAACACTATTTTTAAAAAGTTTGATTCCCCGAGCATGACTAAATAAATGGGACGGAGGGAGTACCTTCGATGCCACTATAGAAACTAAATATCGAGTGCAGTTTAGTATCTGAAGAAGAGGTCGATACAGTTAGGGTTAGCTATTCGGCCGAGTCGTAACCAGAATGGAGAGGATAGGTACGATATCAATCCCCGAATTGTCGATTATTCCATATCGGATTCGAGTCGCTTTGATTTGGCCAATATTGGTCGAGTCAAAACTATGTAGTAGGATGTCAGCCAAAATCTCAAAGTTGACCTGGAGCCAAATCGGCCAAATCATGAACAGAAAACAAAATCCTTAATAATTGAACACCTAATAATTCACTTCTTCTTTTTTAACTGTTACCAAAAAATTGAACCCCTAGTAATTGAAACCAAACAAAACATGAACGGAAAACAAAAGATCACACAAAAAGAGCTGCACCAACTCAATTATTGCCATATAACTACAAAGTCTTGCACCAACAAAAGGCCATCATTCCCCTCATGCTTTCTTCTTTCTTTTCAGCCACAAAGATAGGGGAAAGGGAAAGATAAAGTGTAGAAAGTAGAGCACAAAATCATTATTTGGAGAAACGTACCGTCAATTTTTACATCGATTTGCAGAGAGGGAGCATCTTCATGTTTACAGAGAGGGAACATCGATTTGCAGATAGAAAAGGAGAAAAAAGAGCGAAAAGAAAGAACGAAAGGTGCAACTAAATCGATGAAATGATGGAAGAAGTGATGAAGTGATTTCCAGCATAGAGATGAAGTGATAGAAGAAGCTGAAGGGCAGGGTCAGACAGGGAAAAAATACGAAGGAGAACAGGTAGTTGAGGCCTGTATGGAGTTAAACAAAGGGGAAGGGATCGGCCATCACTGGTCCCCAAAGGACCAATGAGAGCTATGGTGTGGAATTGCCAAGGAGCAGGGAACCCCTTGATAATTCCCCACATGAAGGAGGTGAACAACCTTCTCTCCCTGAATCTAGTTTTTTTAAGTGAAACTAAGAATAGGACTAAATACATGGAGAAGATTAAAAGAATCCGGCACTTTGATAACTGTTTTGTGGTTGATGCCATGAATAGAGCTGGAGGGATGACTTTACTATGGAATGTGGAGATCAAAGTCAAAGACATAAGAAACTCAACATTCACCATTGAAGTGCTGATTGAGGATGATGAAGTGAAACAGGAATGGCGGCTGATAGGAATATATGCTAGCTGTCAAAGCCAGATGAGGAAAAGACAGTGGGAAGGTATTAGTTGAAGGAAAGAGTTGTGGGGGGAAAATTCGATCATTATGGGGGATTTTAATGACTCGTGTTCTAATGAGGAGAAGTGGGGGGGGGCAGACATAGAGAGGAGTGGAGCTTCTATGAATTTAGAAACTTTATACAGGATAATGGAATGATCGATATTGGCTTTGAAGGAACCCATGGATTTGGGATAATCAGTGACAAAATGGAGAAATCAAGCAAAGATTGGATAGAGGATTATGTAGTGGAGGGTAGAATAACCTGTTTGAACATCCTAAGTGCACTCATCTAAACAGTCTAACTTCTGACCACAGTATGTTAGTACTAGACACTAGGCCTGGGGACAACAGGAAGAAGAAGAAATTCTTCTTTGATAAAAGATGGATACAGGGGAAGTTATTAAGAAAGCCTGGGAGGAGGAAATTAGGGGATCTAAAAAGTTTAGAGTTGTTAGGAAGATCAAGAGCTGTAGAGTAGCAAAGATTTGAAGGATGTTAGTTACCTTGCTGAGAAAAGATATAGATACAACAAGATCTCAAGGATTCCAAATGCAAAACACTATTGTCTACTATGTTAAGCAGTGCAATCCATTCAAGCAAAAAAATAAAAAATAAATACACAAGTCTAATTGCAAGCTTAGATGATCAAACAGGAGGACTGGCACTGGCATGCCTCACATTATATCATATAGCTGCAGGTGGTGGAGTTATACATGGTTCAAGTGGTCAGCACCAAATTTACTGGTCCTCTTCTAGATAGTATACTCACTGAAGGATGACATCCGATGGTCAGTGTAGAGCATCTCAGTGGATGGAACTGAACTTGATGTTCAAGTTCCCTTGCTAAGATTATATATATATAGCAAGGGATTATATATATACAGCAAGAAAAAATATATATACAGCAAGATCTCAAAGATTCCAATGCAACATTATTTTCTACTTTGTTTAGATGTACAAACCATTCAAGGGAAAAAACAAATACACAAGTGTAATTGCAAACTTAGATGATCAAATAGGACTGGAACTAGACATATCATACCCTGAATGGACTACTAAAAGTAATAATGCCAAATAAGTAATACACTCTTGTAAAACGCCACTTCATAATGAAAATTTCATCAATAGCAGAATTTTGAACAACATTTCATTAAGTGACTCGAGCAAATAACAACAGAGCACTCGTAGAAATATCCTACATTAGTCTACATTATAAAACGACCTGCTGGTTCCTCTTTCAAACAATCAACACATCAAATCCTCTATTTCCGAATAAAAATATTTTTTTAAAAAAAATTCATGCTGAAAAATTCATGTTTACCTTGAACAGATCAAGCCTTCTTAGTCTAGCTTAGACTGCCTCCACCGGTGAATAATCGACATTACAGTGGGACGGAAAAATTACAAAATTCACCAAAGCTACAACCTTTCACGCTTGAGATATATTAAACTTCATATTTGACAGACAGCAGCTTCATATGAATGCGAGGGTTTTTGATTCGAATTGTGATTTTGGATTGTGATTCGGATTCGGATTCGGATTGTGATTTTGCTGATTCGGATTGTGATTTTGGCAACATTCGTTTTGGCAGCTTGTTCAAATGGACCTTTAAATATGTATAATACATTAATTCATATAAATGGAGGATAGAATGGGGCTGTGCAATAGTGCATTGAATTACCTAAGTTTAATAGAAAGAATTGTGTATCAGGAGGAGAATCAAGGAGCATAAATGCATAAAATATCATCCAAACATTCATTTAGGTACATAAAGATGTATGTGTCAATGTTCAAATAAGATGCTCAATGAAGTGAAGAAAATGTTATTTAAAACATCATTGTCAGATCTGTGGCCTAATCCGTGATCCTCCGCCTCGTTGATCACCACATGGATCCCATTCTAGCTGATATCTAGCGTAACCTCTGGTTTTAACTCCGATACCAAATTTCATCAAATCAATTTAGAGTATTTTTTATATTTTTCTATCTCTTCTTTGATATGTTTTAGTTATTTGATTGTTAGTTTTGTTAGTTGGCATGTCATTTTCAATAAATCTGTAATCTTTATTAGTTTTGGGTCACTTGTTTAGTCAATATTTAGAATAAGTGATGTAATTCATTTCAAATTCAAATATGGCATAAATAAATTAAATAGATTTCAATCCAATTTAGATTTGAGTTAGTTTAGATTTTCTAACTTATAAATAGGCCTTATTATCAGTTATAGTGACAGCAGATTTTGACAATTGAGGTTGAGAGTTTTTTCTTGGATCCTTGTGAACTATTCTTGAATTCATCTTGAGCGTGTTTTAACATATTAAATTTGACTTATTAATCAAGAACCATGCTTGATTATAATATACACTACCAACAACCAAAAGTTCACTAATTTGTTCGGTTGTGAATTGAGATTATATCAATAGAATTGCAATTACAGGGATTAGAGGGGTCTAAAGGTTTTTACGACCCAAACTTGTACATAAAATGATCACGCGGCTTGTCTTGATATCGTGTTTCATTAGTTTCAACGAAATCCGTATCGCTGTCTTGAGACAGAAAAGAATGACAAAGAATTAGTTGACAAATCAACAAAAATAATAAAGAATTTAGTCTCGGATATGTCCAAACTATTAAGAGGTACTTGTTCTTAATCTTTACAAAATCATGTCATGAATTTGATTGATTTTAGCCTAATTTGACTTCTGTGATGTTGTCCAGACATCATCCCTCAGTGTCCTAACTTTTTGTCAGACTAATTTCCCTGTGTCCATGCAACCCATCCCCCAAAGATACACGAGACGATAGGAGAGATAGAGTCGACCACACGACTTGGGGCCTAATGAGGTTATCCCATAGCCAGCCGATCTGAGCCTAAGGGGCAATGTCTCATCTAACTCGTTATACTATTTTTTATGTTAATTGACCGACTAAACTCTTAAAAGTGATTAGTTAGACCATTCTGCTAAATTGTTCAATTAAAATAGACGGAATTTGTTCAATATCTCATTTTTTTTTCATTACCGATTTCCCAATACAATATATTTCCTGAATGATTTCATCTTAGTTGCTTTTCTTTGTAGTTTTTCAAAATATAAATCCAATTTGTTACCAAAATACTTTTATTACTTTCTCAAAAGATTTATAAGTGCAAGGATCATTCGGGTTCATTATAAATGTTGCTAATAATTTTTTTCCTTATTCCTCTTTACTTTTAAAAACATTATTCAAGAAAAGTGCACCAATGGTCACTGAAATTTTTTAATGTCTCATTTAGTCAGTAGTAGTATTTTTCATCTATGGAATGACAAGAACACCTCTATAAATCGTGTACGGCTCATGTTGTGATATATTTTGATACAGCAAATAAATAGAATGAGCCAATTGATTATTTTTAAAAATTTAGTTGATCAATTAACGCAAAAAACAGTACAATGAGTTAGATTTTGAAAAGGTTTGATGGCCGGTGATACACTTTACCTTATTATTATTATTGTAAATTACTTTGTACAATATCCTCCGGCAGCGCAGGTTCGCATATCTGAGGTTAATGAAACTTTGGTCAATTGGAAGACTTTGGTGCACGTTGTTGAGTCTCATCGTGTCAAGCACGTTCAACTGCATGGTTCTTCCAAGTCATTTTGTCACTTCGAATTTGGTGATTCCCAGGTTTTGCTCTCTGCCATTTACTTTTATTTACCAGTTCTTTGCTTTAGATCTGCTCCATTGTATCTTGCTTAACTTGGTCTATTTTTCCCCTCAGGGTATTATGGTTTCTGCAGTTGTCTATGATGATGACATCTCGCATGTGGATGGCCTTCTATTGCCGTTCAAGAAGTATTACGTATCAGCTGTGGAGATTTGTGAAATTCCAGAGACTACTCCCCCGGGACTTTATCGATTCTATTGGGTTATTAACAGTAAGACTGTTGTCGAGGAAGTTGCTGAAGAGGTCGGGCCAGTGCTTTCGTTTTATTTCCATCTGCGCTCATTTGAATCACTTCATTTTGTGGCTGACACTGATGAGTTCATAAGTTGTTCTTCTCTATCTACTATCCTGCTTTTCTCCTTCCATGGATTGCTTTTTTCTATGTTTTCTGTTTGCCTTTGTTTGCATTTCTGGCTAATTCGCTGCATGTGATGTTTAACTCCAGATGTAATGGGGCTCATTGTTCATGCTTTCCTTCCACGAGATGTTTATATGGACGGGACTATGCGCCATGGGAGGGACTATGTCATAGTCGACCACAGGTTACCATTCCCTTGTTAGTTTTGATTTTTGCCCCTTTTTGTTTGATCTCTTTTTTCTTTATTTGAGATGGCCCTTGGATTTGTGCGCTTACTACAGTAAATGTCCAGTCCTTTTGACTTTGTGGGAGGATTTTGAGGCTGTCGAAGGTCATGTTATTGATGAAGCAATGCCCACCATGCCTGTTATTATTGCTATGAGGGTTAGGGTCTTAACAGAAAATTGTATGTCTTCCTTTTTTCCTTGTATATTATGTTTTATTCCCTTGGTCCCTGCTTAGCTTATTTTTTATTGGTTTGCTTATTCTGTTGATCTAGATATATCGTTGTCCACCCAGCCATCTTCTGTTATACTTGTTGCTCCTGATGTTTTGGAGGCACGCCAGCTTGATTATTGGTTGGTTTCTATCAATTTGAACTGTTGTTCATCAGTGTTTAGGCCTTTCGATTCAGTTATGTGCTTGCTTATATTTTGTTTTTTTTTAGGTGTGAAAAAAATGTTTCGGACTTAGTCCGTATGGTTTTTGATGATAAATCGTATGCTAATCCGGCTATTCTTCTGCCCCCTGTTCGTGATCCAACTCTTACTGCAATCTCCAGCGTTGCGTCATTCACTCGATTTGTTAGTGACTTTCTTTTTCCATAACGCCGCTTTTCCCTTTGCTGTGATTTTTCCCTCTTCTTTGTAGTTGTATTGTTTAGTTGCTGTTTTCTATTGCTTTCAGGATCGAGCAACTGTCTGGATTAAGGGCCGTGCTGAAATTGCGTGTCCGATGACTCGCTTTTGGCATCTTGCTTGCCCCCACTGTTATCGTCCCTATGATTTTTCCAGTACCTTAGGGATTTGATGCCTTTCTTGTGGCCTGGGGATGTATATTTTTTCAAGGTATGTTCCATGTTTGGTATTAGTCAGTTGCTTTGATTCCGATAAGTCTTTTCCCAAATGGAGGGGAGCGTTTTAAACTTTCCTTCTGGTTATTCCCATTACTTGTGCAAGGCATGGATTAGATTTACTATTCATGACGATACTGGCCATGTAAATGTTGTCGCTTTGGGTGTTGAAGCTGAAAAGATAATTGGACTTAGTGCATTTCAGTTGTACCGGTCTGTTGATGCCGAGGTTGTGTTCTTCTTTCCATTGCACGCAGACTTGTTAACTGTAGCTGTGGTTTGCTATCAGCTATTTTCTTATCCCCTTTTTTACTGTGCAGTTTTTTGGCCTATATAAACAAGTTCGCCGTTGCCTAGAACGGAAAAACCTGTTGTGTTATATAAAGCATTCCTCTGATGTGATTAGGTCAACGGCCATGTCCAAGTTCACAGCAGTTACTTGCTACTTATGTTAAAATCATAGCTGGTTTGGGGATTACTCTGTTGACTTTGGTTATTGCGGCTGTTGCTTTTTTAAAGCTTTGAGGATGCTGTTATGTATGGACTTTATTTTGTCTGATAGGCTGACTTTTTGCGTTGGTCTGTAATCAGTTTGCTTGTAATGAATGAGGATATCCCGTTTCCTCCCACATTCACATTTTCGTTCCAATGACTAATTGTGCTTTTTTTTTATATGCAAAGCATGCGCTGTAGCTGTTTAAGGATTATTTGTCCTGTTAGACACCTCTTTCCCTTTTCCCTCGCTATTCAAAAACAGTTTGTAGTTCCGCTCAGCCAATTGCTCTTTCTCCGAAACCCCATGGCTTTTCCAACAATGCTTTATGCTTAGCTTGTCGTGCCCAAAGGCATGCATGACCATCTCTGAGGCCTTGGTTTCACCTTTTCATTTCTTGCATCGATTTTTATACCATTCATCAAATTCCAAATTGCTCTCAGGTGTATTTTTTCCTTACACAAAAAAAAGGGGCTAAAAAAAACATTAACTGTAGCTGTGGTTTCCTGCTTGATTTTGTGTTGCGTGCAGCTGCTTTTATTTCCCCCAGGCTCAATGTTAATTAGATTTTGTGCCCCTTTTGCCTTATACATCAATGACCACTTTTTGAAACGCTCGCTAATGTTTCCATGTTTCCATATATGACTTACGTGGACTCTTACCCTACTACGTGTTTTTTATGCATTCCTGATACCCACTGAACGTCATTTCTACTAATTTTTCCTTAGGATACTTTAAGCTTTGGATACGTTGCACGTCTTTCCATCGTCGGCAGCGCCATTGTTCTTTGCAATGTCCACTTTTGTCGTCGTTGCTTCTATCAATCTTTACCAGTTTTTATGCGATGTCAATAGTCACTCATAGGAAAAAGATGTTAGCTATCTACTATTTTTAAACTCATTTGCATGGATCTTCATTTCATGCCAATAGTCGTTCAGAGGGGAAAAAAAAAGGTCAGCGTTTTGCTATTTTTAACCTTCTTTGCATGGATTGTTGTTGAACAAAGTACCCTTGCGTACTCTTTCATCTTTTTTTGCCCGTTGCATGCCTTGGCTAATGTGCTTTCTACGCTCTATTAAACTCTCTGCTTTGTCTGGGTTTCTCCCCTTCATTTGTTTCTTCTACTTGCTCCAACGCCAAGCAGACTTTCTTAACATCATGTTGGTGCGTGAATCTTTACTACATGCCTCTTGCTGCTTCAGTTGTTTTTTTTCCCCCTCCAATTTTTCTTTAGCTACCAATTAAACGCTTTGTCCTTTATTTACCCTGTACGCCATCTGCTTGGTACTTAATATTTATCTTTTATGCATGCACTTTTTTGTTGATACTTTTTCCCTTGCCTTTGTGGTTTCCAGTCGAGTCTTCTTGTAGGGGACGCGCATCAATCTCGGTTGCTTCTGCTGCTGTTTCTTCCTTTTTAAGGTATTATGGTTTTTCTTAAATTGTGGATTATCTGTTTTAGTATTTTTCCTTGCCAATGAACATGTTTACAATCCATTCTATATTACTGATAGGTTCTTCTATCATCGTAATAGCGTCTTGTGTGCTTTCTTTTGATCATTTTTTCATCAACTGTGGTCATTGTTTTTCATGGCTTTCCTATTCTCATAACATTTTTCCTTGCATTATTACTCACTTGGTGATCAATGGCAATTATGTTCATGAGCTTGTTATTTTGTCATGGGTTCTTTGACCCTTTGTAAAATCTATCAGCCAGTAAAATCCTTTGTGCGTTCTATAAATATCTAATGCTTAGTGTACTAGGATCCGTACAACCTTATTCTTGGTTGCATGGACTACAACTTAGTTCGCCGTGACCGTTATGCGGCCATGGACAAAGACAAAAAAGATCCTTTGCTACAGTGTAGGAGGGATGCTTATGCTGCAAAGAAAAACACTGCCCGTGTTCCAAAGGCTAACACTGCCCGTGCCTATCAGCCTAGCATGCACGCACATAAGGCAGGAAACTCTAAATCTGGCTCCCTGCCTACTTTATAGCAGACAGTCGTATCTGCTTTTACATCTAACGTTACCCATGCTGCTGGCCAGAGCCTTACTGAAACTTCTGCTCCTCTTATGCGTCGGCCAAAGAAGTATAAGAGCCGTCGTATGAAGAGTTCCTGTGATATTCCATCTGCTTCCCAGCAGATAAACACAGCTGCTTCTATCCCTGAATCATCTGATAATCATGAAGCCCAATTGCCCGTGCGTGACCATTTATTAGTTGGCCTGTTTGACTCTATTGCAAAACGCTTGGATTCTAATCTTGAAACCCAGCCAACTTCTCACCAACCTAATTCCTCTGCTTCTCTCTCTAATGTGCTACCACCATTAGAAGGTACATTGCAAAGACCTTGTCATCGCCATTCCTCAGTTGTTTTCCTCACACCTCTACTCCTACTTTGTTATTGGTTAAACATTAATACTCTGTTGTACCAGTTCCCGCTATTCTGCCTATAGAGGAAGGAACCTGTGTTATCAACCTAGATGACGCTCAGCCTCTCGATGCTCAGATCAGGCCAACTATTATCGTCAATACCCGTGCTCCTTCTAGAGGTAGTTCAGTACCTGGTACTTAGCATGTATATAAACTTAGGACTTCGTTCTACTGTTGCGTTCTTTTTCAAACTCCCGCAGCAATGATATTGTTTCCGTCATTGCATCAGGGAGACGGAAAAAGATTTCGCGCTTAGATAAGATTCCAGATAGTCCTCTTGTGCTGCCACGAGCCCCAGACTGTAAACATTGTGGAGCAAAAAGATTTCATTTAGAACCTCCCAATTTCTGTTGTTCCGGAGGAGAGGTTTCTGTCGTCATCCCAGTTATGCCTTATAGCGTTTACCGTCTTTTTTTTGGTGTAGACGAGGAATCAGTGGACTTTAGGAAAAACGCCCGTACCTACAATAATAACGTGGCTTTTACGTCCTTTGGTGCCAAATATGACCACGAATTAACGAAAAACACCAAGGGAGTTTACACCTTTCGAGTTCAGGGTCAGGTGTATCATTTACTGAATAGCTTAGTTTCTCAGAACAGTCAACCAACTGGGATTCAATTGTACTTTTATGACCAAGAAGAAGAATTGTCTAAAAGGCTTAGCAACTCCCCCAGGTTACGCGAGAGTACTCTCCGGCTCTTAATGCAGATTTTGGAGTCTAATCCTTACACTAGATTCTTTAAAAGCCTTTGCCATGTCAACAATCTTGATGATCATAGGATCGCTCTTAATTGAAATCCTGGACTGGATCAAAGGGTATATAACTTGCCCACTTCGTCTCAAGTTGCTGCAATATGGACTGAATCTGAAGATGAGGCGTTTGAAAAAAATGCTCACATTCAAGTTTATACTCACTCAAATACCAGCCATAGGATACAGCACTACTTTTCATGCTATGATACATTGCAGCATTCTCTTCTGTTACCACGTGGTGAGTCTAGTTGGCATCATGGTATCTTAAGGAATTCTGATTCTAGGAAACGAAAAAGAAGCACTTCGGATGATATTGATCTTCATGATGCTTCTTTGATAGGGACTACATCATACCTTATTCGCCTAGAACAAGAAGGCAAGTCTAGCTTATATGTTCTCCCTAGCTTTTTGTTCCATTAGCTTATTCGATGTGTGTATAAATTTTTTGTATGGTTTGCTTTCTCTTGCATAGCTGCTGAGTATGGAAAAAAGGAACGTCATACGGTCTCTGCTAGGGAATATTATTGTTACTTGCTTCAGATGAGAGAAGCCGATAGATCCATGTTATTGCACACTGGCCGGTTGTTGCAACAGTTTGTTGTGGATATATATGTTAAAATTGAGACATCTAGGCTTGACTTCCATAGGAAAAACCAAAATGATATTAGAACATAAATTCTCCAAGGTGTTATGGATAGTATAGCTGCAGGAAAGAGTGAAGGGAAGCAGGTAGGCCGGAGGATATATCTTCCATCTTCTTTTATTGGTGGCCCAAGAGATATATGTCATCATTATGTAGATGCAATGGCGTTAGTTCAGAAATTTGGCAAACCAGATCTCTTCATTACTATGACATGCAATACCCAATGGAAAGAGATTCAAGAAAACTTAAAATATGGAGAATCAGCACAGGAACGACTAGATCTGGTTTCTAGAGTGTTTAAAGCAAAGTTTGAGCTGCTCAAGGCTGAAATACTCAAGAAGAAAATATTCGGTGAAGTTGCAGCATGCGTTCATGTGATTGAATTCCAGAAAAGAGGCCTTCCTCATGCTTACATACTCTTGATTCTTAAGCCTGAATATAAGCTATTAAGTCCAGAAGCTTATGACCGAATTGTTTCTGCTGAGATTCCAGATCCGAATAAGCAAAAATATTTATACTCTCTTGTTGTCAGACATATGATGCATGGCCCTTGTGGACCGTTGAAGCCAGATAATGTTTGCATGAAAAATGGGTTCTTTAAGAACCATTTTCCAAAAGATTACTGTGACTTCACTGTCCATTCAGAAGATTCCTATCCACATTATAGGCGTCGAAGGAATGGTCCAACTGTAAGAGTACGAAAACAGTTGTTGGATAACCGTTGGGTTGTCCCCTATAATCCTTACCTTCTTGCACTTTTTGACTGCCACATGAATGTTGAGGTTTGCTCAACTATCAAGCTGGTCAAGTATTTATACAAATATGTCTACAAGGGCCATGACCGTGTGAGCTTTCATGTTCATTCTGGTTCTGGCAGTGAGGATATTGACGAAATCAATGAGTTCCAGTCTGGAAGATGGGTTGCTGCTGCAGAGGCATTTTGGCGTATATACAGATTTTTGCTAAATGAAATGACTCCTTCTGTTTACACCTTTCAATTACACCTTCCAGGCCAACAGATGATTTCTTTCCATAAAAATACAGATCTTGCTGACCTTTTGGACCGTGCTTCTTTTAAAAAAACCATGCTTACACAATTTTTTCATATGAACCGAACCAACAAAGTAGCTCAGAAACTTAATTGCTTGTACCATGAATTCCCTGAATTTTTTGTTTGGAAAGCAAAAAAAAAAAATGGTCTCAAAGAAAATGGAAAAAAGTGATTGGTAGGATGGTGACTGTTAGTCCAATTGAAGGTGAGCGTTATTATCTTAGGCTGTTGCTGTCTCATGTTCGTGCTCCCAAATCCTTTAAGGATCTTTTGACTGTTAATGGCAGTCTTGCTATATCATATAGAGAGGCTGCATTTCAGATGGGTCTTCTCCAATCTGATACTCACGTAGAGGACACTCTCAATAATGCAGTGGCATTTCAAATGCCATGTTCACTGCGCATCTTATTTGCAGTTTTGTGGTTTACTGTTCGTCCAGTAATCCGAAGTCATTGTGGGAAAAATATGAGGGTGCCATGTCTTCTGATTTTGAAAGAAGTAGAGATCTTTCTGGTTGTGATTCCGAAGAAGTGAGGGGTTGCGTTCTTCAAGATATTAATAAAATATTGGAACAGATGGGAAAAAATATAGGTGATTACCATTTTGTGCCTGATAACTTTCACCTTACGGCTGATGAACGAGTCACGAAGAACATTCAGCATGAAAGAAATATTCCATTTACTGAGGAGGACTTACTTTTGTCTTCGAAGTTGAACATAGGCTAGAGACATGCCTATGATGTTATTATGTCTGAAGTTCTCTTCTCAGGAAATACAAGTTTTTTTGTTGACGGGCCTGGTGGAACAGGAAAGACATTCCTTTATCGTTCCCTTCTTGCAACACTCAGGTCTCATGGTCACATAGCAATAGTTGTTGCTTCGTCTAGTGTGGCTGCTTCCATTCTTCTAGGGGGCCGAACTGCACACTCGCGCTTTAAAATTCCTTTGGATGTGTCCGCAAACAAAATTTGCCAGATTAGCAAACAGAGCTCTATTGCAAGATTGATCGCACTTGCTAAGCTGATTCTTTGGGATGAAGCGTCCATGGCTAAAAAGGATACTGTTGAAGCGTTTGACTTGCTACTAAAGGATGTCATGGATTCTAATAACCCTTTTGGAGGTAAGGTTGTGGTTTTTGGAGGTGACTTCCGACAAACCTTGCCTGTTATACCAAATGTTTCCAGGGATCAACAAATTGAGGCTAGCTTTGTTCATTCACCTCTATGGAAAACCCTTCAAAAAATAACTTTATCAGAGAACATGCGCGCTATTTCGGATCGTCAATACTCAGAGTTTCTTTTGAGAGTAGAAGAGGGACATGAGCCAGAGGATGAGGAAGGGAAAATATCTTTGCATAAGGACATATTAATTCCGTTTACTACAAAAGATGCCTCGCTCAATAGGTCGGTGCAGATTCCGCACTCTTATCTTACACTGTTAGCATTTTCGCATGCTTAGTATATACGTACATATTTGACCAGATTCTTATTTGCTTAGGTTGATAAGCTTCGTCTTTTCAGACCTGCATGCTTATTCAACAGATCCCTACGCGATGACCAATAGGTGTATCCTTACGCCGAAAAACTCTTCTGTTGACGATATCAATGATGTGCTTATTGATCGATTCCCTGGAGAAGCTTTTGTTTTCATGAGTACAGACAGAACTCTCAATGAAAAAGATCAGGGAGATTATCAGGACTTCCTAAACTCTTTGAATCCAAAAGGATTGCCCCCCATAAATTAGTTTTAAAAGAAAACTGTCTGGTCATTTTGCTTAGGAACCTAAATCCGTCAGAGGGACTGTGTAACGGCACGAGGCTTATTTACAAAACCTTAGGCAACATGCCCTTTGTGCAGAAATTGCTGTAGGCCAGCATCGAGGCAAGAGAGTGATTTTGCCTAAGATTCCCCTTCAAACATCTGACAATGAAAAAAATGGCATTCCTTTTAAGCGCACACAGTTTCCAGTAAAGCTGTGTTTTGCCATGACCATCAATAAGTCGCAGTGCTAGACATTAGATCGGGTTGGTATCTATCTGCGTGAACCCATGTTCTCGCACGGACAGTTATACGTTGCTTTGTCTCGGGCTAAAATGGCCAGTGAAGTTAGGGTCCTTATAATGCCACCAATATTTTTTGCTCCTGATCTTGTGCCTGAATGTAAAACAAGGAATGTTGTCTATCGTGATATCCTTGAATTAGCTGCTAAATGACTATCTATGCTAAGGTATTCCCAGATTGGTGGCTTTATGCAAGCCTTTTCTGACTTTGCTAACATTCTTTTTATTGGACTTTCATCTTGCTTTTCCTGCTGTTCTTGTTCTGCCATAACCTTATGTACTTTCGCACATCTTTGGTACAGAATGGGTGATCTTTTGTTCATTGACGACATAAAGCCTGGAATGAAATCTTGGACAGCTATAATAACGGTCCAAGAAAAATTGAATGTTTGCTCTGCACCCTCCACTTCAACTAAATGGCAAAAGTTCATTTTTGTTGACTCAAAGGTATGCTTATATTACTATTGAAAGCTTCTTGTCTAGGTGCACTTTCCCCTAATACTATGTATCTTTGGTAGTAAATCACACCTTTGTTGTTTTGTTCTCATTACCCATAAAGTAGCCAATTTTCCCTATGAAACTTCCTTTCCCAGGGATCAAAAGTCCAGGGAGTACTTTTTGACTATGCCATACAAAAAATGGGTCCTAAGCTGAAGCTCTACAAAAAATATCGCATCTCAAATGCTGAAGTCAGATCTGCTGCTGAAAGGTTCCAGCTTGATGGACTTAAGCTCCAGTGGATTATAAGCACCAAAACTATTGTAGAGGAAATTGATGAGGCTGATTCAAGTGTGTTGCCATTCCACTTTGATTTCACGGCTTATAAAGACCTGCCTCCTTACGCAGACATGAAATACGAAATTGTTGGTCAGTATAAAGCACAACTCATGGTTTATTTTCTATTGCACTTATATGAAATAAAAGTTGTATCTGATTTTTCCTTGCTTTTTTTTTCTAAATATAGATGTCATTGGAATAGTCATCCATGTCTCGTCGGTAATTCCAGTCCATAAAGATTCACGTTCATCCCTTGTGCAAAAATTTTGGCTTGTGAATGAAGAGTAAACTCTTTTCTTGTTCTTCCTTTGCTGCATCAAAAATCATGAAACAGTTGACACAATTACCCCGTCATTATAAAAATATAACAGCTATTTCTCTGTTCTTGCTATTACATAGAATGAATCCTATTCTGCTGTCTCTTTGGAATGAGTTCACTAAAAATGAAGGAAAATCTATCACTGAACTGAAAGACAAGTATCCTGTTTTAATATGTCGCAGGCTCAATGTTGTTATGTACAATGGTAAGTGGAATCATTGCTGATCGCCATCCTTAATTATATGTTATGCTAACCTGCCTTTGTATTAATACTCTGACTGGCTATCTTTGCCTCTTAGGAATTGCTTTGTCAACCAGGAATGACTCGGTTATTCTTGTCAATCCACCAGTCAGAGAAGTTAATCAGCTAAAGCATTGGTTTTTTCCTCTTACTTCCTAGATTTTTTTCCAGGTCTTCTCGCATACCATTACTTAGCATTTCGTGTCACCATTTGCGTTCATTCTTTCCAACAGGGCTGCCAGAAATGAAAAAAGCTTTGCGGGTCTTCTTGAGGATAACATGCATGCTAAACAAAGTCCTCAGCTATTTCACCAATCACACCAGAAAATTATTTCTATCATTGATGTTGTTCCGACACAAAAGGTTTACATTTGTACCCATTTTTTTCCCCTCTTTTTCCGTTATGCAGCAAAAAACCTCACCTACCTCCTCCGTTTTTTGTATTTTTCAGGTTTCATGGGTTAAGGCACAGGTTTCTTTCAAGCACATCATCCAAAAATATTATTACATGGGTTGCATAAAATGCCACCGCATGACTGCTGCAAACTTTGGAACTACATTTACTTGCAACCATTGTAATGAGAAACAACAGGCTTCTCCCAGGAAAGCAATCTCGACATGCAATTCATTGTTTCATGTGAAGTTACAGCCTTTTGTTCAAAAATAACATATTCTCTGATCTTAACCCAAGCTTTATTGCATGCAGGTACCGTTTTGATGTAGACCTCACTGACCACACTGACACACTCACTGCTTCTGTGTTTGGTGACTTGGCTGAATCTTTGCTCACATTTACTGCACTTGAAGCAATGAATTACCACGAAGAGGTTTGATAAATATCCATAATAAGCCTTAAAGATTTTTTAAACAAATCAATGACGTTTTATATATATATATAGAATACAGAATTGCCGCTAGAAAAGGTTCATCAAGAGCTACAATCAAGGATGTTCATCATACAATTAAAGCCAGCAGCTACCAGGGATGGAGGAGGTCATCAGCGTTATACTATTGTCTACTTTTTTGAGGATTCAAGCTCTGAGGAATCTGCTAACAAGTCTGCGCATCCTGATGTCCACACTATTTCTCTTGGAATTGGCAATACTGTCCCAACAAATGCAGCTCCAGGTTTGTATGTACAAGGAAAAAACTTTTTCCAACTATACATACTCAATTTATTGCTTCCGCTGATGCTTCTCAATAAATTGCTGTTTAGAAAACCAAGTTTCTTCATCGAAGGTGCGAATTCGTCTTGATACAAAGTTCGATCAATCTGAAGATGCAAATGACAATACATCCAAAGATGAGTAGGCACCCATCAGCAAAAAGGCAAAGAAAAATTGAATGCCTTTTCATTCCTTAGTTTTCTACCTATGAAACCAAATGTCTGTGCCTTTTGCAAATGGTTAAAGCATTCATTTTGCTGCTGGTTTTAAAGCTCTATCTCAAACTTATGACCTACCTTTTGAAGCCTTAGCTTTATCTGAACAAAAGGTCTGAGAAGTATTGCTATCCCTTATTAGTCAGTACATTATCTGCTCGATTCTATATAAATTAATTGGATGACTTTTGTCCATAACTTGACAGCTTTTAACATCTAGATGGCCAATTCCAAATAATGCAAACACAACAACTATATTCATTGCTGCACAATTGCATTTCAGCCAGTACTCCATCCAACACCTACCTACATTTCGGAATTTCGCCCAATAGCAACTCAGTTATATTAAATGCCTCTCTCTCTCTCTCACACACACACCTGCTTGTTTAAAAATACTACCCAGTTGCATTGGCACTCATACTTGTTCGTGCATTGTGTATATTCTCCTTTCCTTCCAGGTGCTCCTCCCTTCTTTAAGCCTTTTTCTACACAACAAGCTTTTCAAGTGTGCAACTTCACCGCCAATATAAGAAAAGAAAATTTTTTTGCCGCAACTCTTTGTACAACAGGAAACTTCTCCAAACCTTTCTATGTACCATTTCTTCCTAACCTTCCTGCATAATTACTTAGCAGTAAAAATGAATGGGCCAAAAAATCCGTTTAAAAGATGGGAGTTAGTTCGAGTTGCCGGCAAAGTAAAGTTTTATCTTCGCATATTTGATCATAAAAAGATCCATGCAGCAACTAGTGTTAAAAATCAGGAGGGAAAAATAATATACTCTGTCAAAAAAAATTTTATAGAGGCTTTCCCCATGGTATTTATGTACATGGGTGAACCATCATTATTTTCACTTGCGTCGGTTAAACAATGGTTGCAGAATATCATCCTTATTTCTTCACAGGCATTCCTATCCCAAGGCAAGTATCCTTTCCTGCTTACACCTCTGTTATAAAATACATGAAAATCTTATTGTTTTCTTTTTCCAATAGAACCTCCAAAGATTACCTGAATATTAAATGGACAGCCATGGTGCTATGTACTTTTTTGCACAGATATGGAGAAACAGGTACTCTTACTATCCACTTCTATCTCTTGGATTACGTTTATCATATATTTACAAATCTCTTCTGTTCGTAGAAAATTCCAGTAGAAATGTTTCGATATAATAACTTTGCAGAGGGGCAGACCATTACAGTTAAACACGGCCTTGCTGAGTGGAGTCTACAAATCACAGATCATTGTTTTGGAGGCGAATGGAAATTTTTTTGCAAGCACAACTATATTGACATAAATGACATGCTTTTCTTACGAAAAAGAGTTAACTTCATATACGATGCACTGCCTTTCTCAACCAATCATCTACAAATTTGGACACGCTGGACCCTACCCTTATCAATGATCTCTTATGAATTCTCCGTCTCACAAGGAAGCTACAATTCTACTGCTCTTTTACATTATTTCTAAGTTATATATACACTCACACATCCATTCCTTTCATTTCAGAAAATATCAAAAACGAGCCGAGTGCAACTTTGGTCACCTCATCAATCAATCGATTTTTTTCTCATGATCTTATGGCATTAGATTCTTTTTACCAAGTTTTTTCTTCCGCTGCTAAGCACGCAATGGTGTGCACTTTCTCCTATTAAACATATCCACTGATTTCTAATCCACTCCTCAAAACGCTTTATCTTTATTACACTGATTCGTTTCTTTTCCAGGAAGTTCCCAAGCATGCCCATCCGAGATTACATGAATCAAGAACCCCAACTATTGTCCTCACAAGCGGAACTAAAAACTATATCATTGGAATGGCCGACAACAGATTTCACCAAAACTGGAACACATTTGTTAACGATCATGGTCTTCAACAAAGAGAAATAATTGTATTCATACCACAGTCCCGTACATCCCTTGCTGTTTTAGTTTTCGGAATCAATGGCGTAGAAATCATGTATCCATGGCATCATGCATTTCACCTTTAATATATTGATATCTTTGATTACCAGATTAGCATATCGCCTCCATTACCAAAATTAGCTTGCTATGTTTAAGTTTTTAATATATTGATATCTTTGGTTACCAGTATTACTTCTGCTCTTAACTTATTTACCAATAAGCCCAGCTACTATTTACACTATTTTAATCCTTCATGGGCATTCAAATTTTATATTCCACCGCGCTTGGTTTACTTCTCCTAGTTTGTTAACAAATTGATTAGGACATTATATATATTCATCTACAGGGCCTTCCACAATTTGCAGATCCTAGGCTGTATGAGAGCAAAACACCAACACTGGATATAAAAGCCATGGCATTGGCATGGTTCAAAGGACTTTTCATCCAAATTGGAACGACTTCGTTGTTAACCGTGATTTTCGACCCAACAAACTACTCCTTTTTATTCCACACTCCCACTATTCCTTTGCTACGCCTACATTCAATCGAAAAGAAATAAAAAAAAGAATTAATTTTTTCTACACTGACAGTGTATTAAGTCAACATTGAATGAATGACAACTATACAAAATTTGAATTTGAAATACAACTTTCGCACATGTGTTATAAATCTAACGGTGATAGTGTATACACTGTCTGTATATAAAATTTATTCAACAAAAATGTATACCATGGTATTTCAATTTCTGGATTTAAGATAGTAGTGATACGTTGATGTTTAAGAGCCTAGTTAGGTCCGATCACATTCTTGAAATGCTGCCGTTATCTATGGATGTTTTGAGATACATAACAATATGATACAGATGAGACTTCAGGGATCAAGCATTTATTTACAAAGCATTCTACTTCATTGTGCTTTAAGTTTGTAATAGTTGCATCAGACATGATAAAGGCCCCGTTTGGAAGGTGAGTTTTTTGGGTGTTTGTATAAAACTTTACTGTAGATCACTGTAGAAGTTGTAAAAAAACTTTTTGTAAAATGAAAAAAACTTTTTTCCTTTTCCTTTTCTTTCTTTCTTTTTCTTTTTTCTTTTTTTTTTCCTTTCTTTTTTCTTTTCCTTCATTCTTTCCCGTTTCTTCTCCTTTCCCCTTCCCCCTCCCCTGTTCCCTCTCTCGAAACTGCAGCAACTTTCTTTCTTTTTTCTTTTTGCTTTTTTTCTCTCCCCCTCTCCCTCTCCCGCCACCCCTCCCTCTCCCTCCCCCGTCGGCTATATCAGAGATTATCTCATCGGCACCGTGCGTTTTCTGCTGAGTAGTTGCCTCGGCAAATTCCCCTCTTCAGCCGACATAATCGCAATTGGTACTTCGGCGTTGGTTTTGCCAGTCGGATCAAAATTTGCGTTTCTGGGAAGATTCTAAGTTGGAAAGTTAGGAAGCCTGATGATGCGGTGGATTTCTGGTGGGTTGTTGGTTTTGAATTTTGATGGCTACGATTTTGCAGAAGATCCCCTTTCTTTTTTTGGCAAATAAATCAACTTGAGCTTTTGTTAGTTCTTTTTCCTCAAAAAAAAAAGCTTTTGCTAGTTCTCACCTCTTGTTGGCGATTTGTTGGGGAAATTTTGATAGGTGGGCGGTTTGGAGTTTTCCTGGGAGCAGTATTAAGTGGGATAATGGCGAAATTAGGGAAATTTTTTGATTGGAACTAGGTTCGGGTGGTCGGTACCGGAAGAGATGATCGGCACCGGTACCGGTGCCGGAGGTGGTGGCCGGCGACGGAGGTGGTGGTAGGTTCGGGTGGGGGAGGAAGAAGAAGAAAAGGGGAAGGAGATGATTTTTTGTGTGTTTTGGGTATTTTGAAATGTGTAGATAAAAAACTTTGAAAAGTTTTTTTAGATTACTGTAGCTAAAGTTGGTAAAATACTAGTATAAAACAAACTTGAGTAAAAACTCAACTTCCAAACAGGCCCAAAGTTTCTCACATTCTTTCTGTGTTCTACCAATTTAGAATGTTTGGCTACAATGACTTTTCTTAAGAATGCATATATACACTATAAATGAAGATATACAGACACAAAAACAATAACAAGAGAGGAGTGTCTTCATTAGTTATGTTTAATTATGCACGTGTAACTTAGCTGCCATGGCGCATAATGCGGTTTATGCTTTCTAGTAAATAAATAAACAGCATGTTTAAACGGTATATGTTTCTGACTTATTTTGGCATAGCTTGGTTTGGGCCGGGCTCAATATGTCATAAAATGAAATCACATTGAAGTCTTATTTTATCATAGCTTGGCTTGGGCCGGGCTCAATGTGGCATAAAATCAAATCAAATTGAAGTCGTGCCTAAAAGATTTTAGGTCCTCACTTAGCCTAACTAGCTCATTTGTTTGTAAAGCATTTTTTTGGTTGGTGGAGAATGGGTTAACTTGGCCCATTTGATATTCAAACTAATGCTAGTAGTTAGGAATTAATGTTCGTCTTAAATGCATGCAATTTCTCTTCCTAGTTCCTGTGGCACTAGTTTAGCAATAAATATATACAACAAAGTAAGATTCTCCACTAAGTGAATTCTCTCTAGTAAAATTGTTAATTAAGTGGATTCTGCCTCCTATATAACATGGTCAATTGAGGAAATTTATAGGTCAAATAGAATTGGACATGACGATATAGTTTTTCTCTCAACTAATTAATCAAATGTAATCCTTTATTCTGACAACTTTTAAGTCTTTATTTTAATTATTTGAATCATCTAAAGCACAACTTAATTTGGTAGATGTAAATTTACTAACACTCTGATACACACAAGAGTAACTCTATATACTGCTGGACAACGAATATCACTTAACATGCCTTGAAAAAGTTACATCAGTCAACTTGTCCAAAAAATAAAATTACATTATTCAACTTATATATTTTAAATATCTTTATAAGAAAAATTTTCCTGGAAGCTAAAAATAACACACAATTGGAATGATAATTTATTATTTCATATGAAACTATTGTTTAAATGGCATAAATAAATATCATATGCAACTAATGTAATGATTATTAACTAAATAAACGCATTATTTCACGCAATATATGTGTAAGTCAAAATATAGCTGTTTCCTTGCCTCAAGGACTTTAGTGAACCAAATTGGATAAGGTAATTTCCACAAGAAAAATTGATGCCACAGTCATACAATTTAGGAAATAGTTTAGGAAATTGATTCAATTGATTTATGCAATAGTAAGTGAAATGTCACTTTAGTCTTTGTCAAAATCTTTTAGCTCTCATGTGACAATGATTCCATAAATCAACTTCCAAAAATTTGAGTATGACTGCACGAAATTGTTGAATGCTAATAATTCATCTGAATAGATACTAAAAGATGTATATCCAGGTGATGTTTTTATGTGAACACATGTTGCTGAAAAAATGCATCGAATTCGAGTGTTGTCACAGATTGAAACACACAATATATTCAATGGCACACCAAAATCTCGAACAAGTTCACCCATACAGAGCATCAACATCCAAGGGCATATTAAAAATGTCAATGTCTCTAGTAAATAGGAATTTTGTTAAATTATAAAATCTCAAGATGCACACCATCATAAGAAACTGTTGGAGGAGAGTACACGAACAATTTCTGATCTTCAAAACTAACCACCTTGAAATTGACAGTTACTAAAAAGTTCGGTAGGGTTGAGACATGTAGAACGCTCTCTTTAAGACGATACGCGCCCCTACGGTACTTTTCAAACCGATGCAGAAGGTCTAGCGCACTGCCTCCAGGATACAACAACCCAACTCTATAGTTGTTACTTTCCTTTGATCTGCACAACCAAGAGAAGCAGAAGCTTCCCAATATCTTTCTTTGCCCAAAGAAAACAAAATGAGGGAGAAAGAATGAGTGTGAGGAGGATAGTATTTTAAAATGATCTTTTGTTGAGAGAAGTGTGTGTAAAATTCTTTTAGAGAATTTCACTATTTATCGGCTACAAAACCTTAAGAAAAAAAGGGTTGAAAATCCAATGTGTAACGGTTTTTTCATATTAAATTGTAGTTAATTGGTAGAATTTGCAACCTAAAAAATTAATTCACATTTGAATGGGTTATAAAGACTCAATTTGACCAAATAATTCTTTTGTAACTCTTATTCAAATAATTATACAATAACTCCATTCAAAATGCAATGTAACTCCCACAATTATAATTCCCATAACTCATCAATAAATTCTATTGTAACTCCTTGTAAAGATTTGGCCAAAAACTAATTAAGATTTTATTAAAATACACTAACAGAAACTTCATAGTTGCTTAAAATTCTCCAAGTGCTTCCAAATTACAACTCTTAACTCTAGTATAAATGATTGACAACACATGCCTAAGAGGTCTGCTATTACATATATTTGTTTTTGTTCTAATTACATAGTTATTTTCAAGGTTAAGAAATTACATCTAATCAGTTGTCTTGTGTATGACCCAAAATCCATTCTTAGCAAAAGCATTACGAAATATACGACCAACATATCAAACAATTAATAAAAATGACCAATAACCTATCATTGAATTGTTAAAGAGGAAAAAAAAACCTTATAGGCTATATATCAGGCATTTATGCACGTTAAGGGATCAGATGATAAGAATTTCACTTTATATATATATATATATATATATATATATATATCAAAGTGAACATTTTATTACTGAACTTGCTAGAAATCATATAGCATATATATATTCTTTTGACAAATCAGGAGTTGAATTTCAAAAAGTCTAAAGCAAATTGCTAGAATTAGCATAATGCACAAAAGCATGTGTAATTGTTTGATTTGGCTGGTGTCCATCTTATACAAATTTTACTTAGATCTAACAAGGAAACTCATATATGATCAATTATTGTACCTGTGATAGAAAAATCATAATCTATGTCGTATGCTAGAGCTGGAAACCAAAGATGCATCTCCCTAAATGATGAAACTTTTCAAAAGAAATAGTTTCTCTGGGAGCAGTAGCTTCAACTACTTGCTGTCAAGTTT